ACTAGGCCCTAAGTGGAGCTATGCTGCATTTTCTCGACTTTCCACAACTCCGACAGCTGCCGTCCACCAGCTATCGGAAAATACACTGTGCGGACAGTAGTGGAGCCCCTCATTGTGTTTTCCCCCCCCACACTTTCTTGTTCTTTTGCCAGCGTTTTCATTTTCTTTTCCATGTTTTGCCCCTTGCCTTCTTGTTCCCCTTGCCTTTTTCTCTTCTCCCTTTCCCTTCATGTCACAATTTCATGTCTGGTTTCCGGCCGCTTCAATTTCCAAAACGATCCTCCCTCGCGCAAATACTACGCCTCCCCCAAACCTGCTCAAAACCACACAGTACATCCAAAAAAACAGATCGTCTCAAAAAAAAAAAAAAAAAAAAAACAAAAAACGCAGATTCAGCCTCTCCGAAAAAATGGGAGGCCATGATCCGCCAATTCATTTTATCAACGGCCCATGGTCTCCGAACTTAGTCACATGAGCCACCCAAAGCGGCAGTGCCCACCCTGCGGCGTGGGGCAACATCAAATTTCACACCCACCCCCAGGACCGCTGTGAGCGAGTTTCAGCAGTTATGGGTTAGTATGACGATCCCTGTACGAGCTCACTCGTTTTTTTTCTTTTCTTTTCCCGAATCAGTGCTTAAAAAGGAAATTCGAAGAAAAGGATTGGAGGTTTAACAAAAAAACACAGAAATTTCAGAAAAATAAAGCAATCCATTTGTGAATCATAAGAAGGGCACCAGTCAAGGCAACTTCGTTGCGAGTTGATCACTCCAAGACACCACACTATTTTTATTTTTTTCATTTTTTTTGTTTTTAAGACACCACACTAATTCTCGTGGACTGGCATAACTCCCATAATAAAGACCATGAAAAATACAAAGATAAACCACAATAAAGAATAGAGTAAAAATAGTCGAATTTTCCAGTGGTGTTAAGGGAACGGCACTGAATCGTTTTCTTATGAATACGTACAGTGGCCCAAGGGGCCTCTCTCCAAAGACGTACCATATGACGGTGTATGGTTCCATGTTTCAGCAGAAGATTCATTCTGCTAATATTATATACATTTGGTGAGTAGTGGAGGCAGGAGACACGAACAGGGTCTAGCTGAATTGGTGACCCATAACTGCCGAGCTACAGGCCTGAACTCGAACCTACAGTATATATCGGTGGTCTGCTCCCACCCCTTCCACATATGACACGGCCTGCTCGACTCCACATGTTTACATACATTGCCAAAGCCATTTGAGTTACCTGCAGGCACCCTTGAATTGACGTAAAGGGGCCCCTTTGCTCTCTCTCTCTCTCTCTCTCTCTCTCTCTCTCTCTCTCTCCACCTGAGGGCATGCAGATTTGTTTTTTGTTTTTTTTTTTGCACCTGGCACATCCGCCCGCAACGTGCACACTGCGCGTGCTGTCATTCTAGCGCACAGCGCACTACACACCAGCCCGTACTGCACTGGACACTGGTGCACCTCAACTATGGTTTAAATAAACTTGCAAATACCTTACTTTGCACGGTGGCTGCCAGTGCATTACTTTTTTCCAAAATGACCTGTCGAAAGTTGAAACTGATTTCACCAGACACCTCCGGACCGAAGATTGCATTCTTTTTTTTTCTTACTAGTTAGCATTCTCACCCTCTAACTTTTTTTTCCAGATGTTTTTGCCTTCAAAAAAAAAAAAAAAAAAAAAGAAACAGTTCACAGGGGCTGTATTACTTTCCCCCCAAAATTACCTGGAGAAATTGGTTTCACAAGTCTGAGAAGAATCCGGACTGCAAAAGTACCTCGGATACATTCAGTTGCATTACCTCGCCCTGAAAGGTACTACTACTACTACACCTTACTTTGATTTTTTATTTTCATCTTTCCTTCGATACATTTAACAGTTCTTACTTTTTCACCTTTTCTTTTTTTTTTCATTTAAAAGTTTCAACTGCAATATACAACCAGATGCTTTTTTCACATTTTTCTTTTTTCATTTAACAGTTTTAACTGCGATACAATCGGATGCAAAGGGCTGAGCCATATACCTTGGATGCACATCATCGACACATTTGACTGCAACGCTGCTATCGACTCCAGAAGACACCACCCCAGATCCGACCAATTATTGTACGGTTGAGATGGCACGCCGTCACTTTATCTTTTATTCCTTTTACTTTCTTCGTAATTACAAATTTCAATTTGTTTATTCTTTATTGCCTTCGATTGACTATATCTACGTAGCTGTATTTGAATTAATAGATTTATGTTTATTACATACTTCCATTTAGCTGCCATACATTCACATGCACTGGGGCTTCACAGGGGGGCAAAGAGGGGAAATAAAAGTCAAAAGACTGAACGGCATCATGTCGTACCTGGGATGCACAAAATCAACACAAATTTGACAGCATCGTTCCAGCACTCGCTGGAACAGAAGAATGTGTTCCAGGAACACAAATCTTCCAGCATCAGTGTACACAGTACTACACTCACATATCAGAAGAATTTGTGTGCCAGGAACGAAGACATTGTCCACAGGTTCTGCCTTGAAAGGAGGGAGCGAAACTGAGGAGGAAACCAAAAGGCCTGGCCTTTCGTGCACTACTAATGCTACTACTGCGGCTGCCGCTGCTGCTGCTAGCAGAACTTCCCCTCGTACACATTGACTGCGATGGGTGCTACTCACTCACCGCTTCTTCTCACCGTCCTTTCTCCAAATTCAAGAGCTTACCTCTTGAAACCTGGTTACTATCACGGTTAAGATACCAAATCGTCCTGCTTAGGCTGCTTCCATCTGCCAAGGCATTATTACAACGAAAGAAAATCGCCTGTTTTTCCTCTTCGGCGTCGGTCTATATGCTCACCTGAGCTCCGCGAAACTCTCTATGTGCAGGCTTACAGTATACGATTCCGTAACACGAGAGAGAGAGAGAGAGAGAGAGAGAGAGAGAGAGAGAGAGAGAGAGAGAGAGAGAGAGAGAGAGAGAGAGAGAGATTATCTGTACTTCCTGTCATCCACGGGCTTGAGAGGTCACCATATCCTATTTCCATTCCTTTGTCATGAAGTAGCCATAGCTAACCAGCAGCCTCTTGCTCCTGCCGTGTGCCATTCATGATCCCGAAGCAGACACATATGCAAGCTCTTCACAGAGAGAGAGAGAGAGAGAGAGAGAGAGAGAGAGAGAGAGAGAGAGAGAGAGAGAGAGAGAGAGAGAGAGAGAGAGAGAGAGAGAGCTTTTTTGAAAAGCCGATCTGTCTTCCTTTCATCCACGAGCTCGAGAGGTCACCGTATCCTATTTCCATTCTTTTGTCATGAAGTAGCCATAGCTAACCAGCAGCCTCTCTTGCTGCTGCCGTGTGCCGTTGATGATCCCGAAGCAGACATATGCAAGCTTTTCATTCATTGACAGAATGAACGACGTGGAATGTTGAGACCACATCCATGTTGAAATGCCGTATACCTTCTTCAATCAAGGAAAGGTAGCAAAGTTGGCCTTCCGGTCACATCCAAATACCTGATCATTCCAGGCGCCGCCAATGGGATATCAGAGCGAACAGATTGGGTACCAGAGACAAGAGAACAGACCGAGATCGGGCACCAGAGACAAGAGAACAGATTTCAAAATCTAAGTCAAAGAACAAGCATCAAAATCAAAATCAAAGCCAAAGCCAAAGCCAAAGCCGGAGCCGGCTGGACCACCACAAACCAAAGGACAGGAGCTCAAATCCTGATGCATACAACAAGGCCAGAGGCTATCTCTTCTTCCAACTAGTTGGAGGTGCGGGGGACTCTGGGGAGTGGGAATGGATACGACCATTTGATGCAAGATCGAGTTAGAAAGCCGCAATTTCGCAGAGAGGCCCGAATTGCTGCACTTGAGGGTCCGCATTTATCAGTTCGCACCATTTTTGCACACCCCGACCGATAGGGGGCAAACCTTGACTGGTCAGCACCGACCGATAGGTGGACCTCGGCAGCCCACCCAAAAAAAAAAAAAAAAAAAAAAAAAAGCACCAGACCCCCATCCCCGCCTCATATACCCCCATACACCAACCCAACACCCCCAAACCGCCCCCCAACACCCTCATACACCCCCCCCCAATACCCCCTATACCAGAGGATCCAGGCCTTCTGGCTCCATATCCAGTCTGGGGAGCGTCAGTCCGGTTCGTATTCCACCCGCAAGTCAAGAAACACTCGTTCAATGAATTTTTCTTCTCAGTACATTTCAAACCTTGACTGCTTCAAACTTCAACCTTACAAACAGCCCCAGGACATCTAAGGAAATGAACAATAACAACCCCCGAATACAACGTACGGTCATTATAGCTGAATTTGGGGTATCTTTCAGTCTAAATACAGCTATAATGACCGTACGTTGTATTCAGGGGAAGAAGGTAGGACAGTTGAGAACAACAACGACCTTCAGAAAATTCAATAAACACTATTGAACGTGCGCTACCAGGCTGACCGTGCGGGTCCCCCCTTCGATGCCAGGGCAGCCCAGCCGTACAAGGGCCAGGGCCCAGGGAAGGTCTTAGGCAAAAAAAAGAAAAAAAAGTTCAAACACAGAAATCCGGGAAAAAAAACATGTTTTGTAGAAAAATGACTTTTGCCTCAGGGTCACATCCAAATTCTTTACCAAATTAAGAATAAATTTTATTAAAAAGAACTAAAATGATTCTCCCCCCCCCACACACACAACAAGGCAAAGTCCAAACAATTGACCTTCAGGCCCAACTGGAGTTATGTCCATGCTTCGAAAGCACGAAGCATGCCACCTATGATGGCTCGGTTCATACTCTGCTGCAAGCCTGAACATAACGCCGGTGAGACCTACCCTCTGATGCTGAACAAAAAATGGAACTGAAAGTAGGTGCCACGTGAGTGGCTTGCTGCTGTGGCGTCAAGAACTTTACCTTCATATCCGTCTGCTTGGCATGAATGTCAGCGTATAGCTCCGAATCCTCTGGTTGTGGGCTTGCCTGGCCAATATTACACCCCAACCACATCATTCATCAATAGTGAATAGAAAAGTCAAATAAATGATAGATCGTTGAACTAACCATCTTACACCAATCACATCATTGCAGACACAACCCACTGACTGCAGTTAGTGCCCTCTTTTCATTACACTAAAAAAAATCACTGTTAATTTGTTAAACATATTATGCTCTTGGTTGCGGACACAACCCAACAACCCACCGACTCGAACGAGTGATAACTACGAAAAAAACGATAGTCATGTGAAAACGTCCGTCATTGCGAGCATCATGTCCCCCATTCTTCTAAGCATTGAGTCGCTGTCATTTGCACTGTTTTCGCATGATGACTACCTTGGGCACTGCAAAGAAGAACAGTATGTCCATGGGCAATACAGACAGGAGATAGTGAGAGCTCATGCGCTTTCCGCTCCCTGGTACTAAAGGTAAGATTAGTACTATTTCATTGCAAAAAAGAATCGAATTTACTAAGCTACTGAAAAATTTGCAATTAAGTAATACAAATCGTTTTTTAGAATCATGGTTATTTCACTACACAAAATACAGGGAGCTGTTCCTTAGGATCTTCGAGTCTTCAAGGTTACATGGGGTAAGGCACACATGACCGAACTCAACCAAAGTTAGACCTTGTGTCTCCAGCATGCAGACGGATGAATGCGACTGTGCCCGCAACGCGGCGAAGCACAAGGAGCCATCCTCCATTTATTGGGGGGGGTGAGGTGAGAGAGCACTGGAGAGTTCTATTTCGTACGCAAACCTCTCACTGGGAGGGCGAGAAGATGGTCATTCACTGCTTCCCACTAGATTCTTCACACACACGAACTAAAATGTGGCGGTCCCAGAACACAAGGACTCAACCTACATACCTCAGGGGGAAGGGAGGTGGGGGCCCCCCTGAAGAGTGCTATTTCTACATAGGCTACAATATTCAACCCCCAGTACATGACACCCCGGCCTTGTGGAGTAATCTTTCATCGCCTAGAAGAATTTCGGAGGATTGTGGTTACCCGAACACGATGGCTGGCGGCCCGAGCAGAAGACCAAAGAAAAAAACAACCCCTGGCGGTTCGGAAAATCTCGGCAGGCAGTGGAATGCCACCAGGCCCCAGTGTCGTGGTGGGTTCAGGAAGTGAGGGAAGGGGGGGAAGGGCGGGGCGGTGAGAAGGCTTTAAGAGTTCTATAACCTTCTATTTCCTATTTATGATTCTCACTCAGATACCAGACTTGGGCAAAACCGTTTTTGATTCATCAAACAGTCGACATTTTCCACTACACAATGAGATTCATCAGATTTTCATCTTCGTTTTTTTCCCCCCGTTTTTTCACGGCTCGCCTGTCGATTCTTTCTGCACACTCTTTCAAAAGAAAAAAGCAACAAAAGAAAAAAAAACAAAAAAAAAATCCACATTCATATGCACATGCTCACAAATGTAATTGAAAACACAGAATCTGGCTGCTTACCTTTGCGAAGTCCACTGCCTCATTCACTTCCTTGGAACACTCCTTTTCTATTGCCTGCAATGTAGAGAGGTCAGGAGATTCACACACAAATTCAACCACAGGCACAACACAAAACTTCAGTACGCCATCCAATGGGTCTAGCAGCTCTAGCTCAGTTGGTTTACTTCTGCTGAAGTTCTGCATACTACACCCCGATGAACTTTTGAAATACAGACTCAAGTTCGAATCCCCATGCTATCAGATAACGAACAGACTAACACCATTCCGAATTATCAGGCGGGCCAGTCAGTCCACAACGATAATATCTCAAGGCCGTCACCCATTAACAAAGATAAAAAAAAAAAAAAAGAACCTTCAGTAAGTCTATTCAGTAGTAATCACTGCATTAGAACACTCCTTTTCTATTGGCTGGAATATAAATAGACAAAATGATTCAGGCAGAAATTCAACAACAGGGAGAACACAATACATGAGTACTTCTAATCACTGCATTAGAAAACCACCAGTAATGCAGAACCTATTCTGCAAACGCTAGCCGTCTTCCCACATTACGAATCCGAGATACTGGACTCCAGAACATTACATCCCCGGCCGGGTACCCAACGGGGAACAGTCAAACTGTGTACATGTTGTATGGGGGGTCCTGCCAGCAGAGCGTCCTGCTGGCTGTGCTTACCACGTACACAGTCGGAGACGGGGTACCATTCGGAGTCTGGGTACAAACCATTGCAAGTCTCCTGGCTTGGAAAGCTCCCGCTCTGCCCTGGGGGTGTCGTGAGAGTGTGATCAAAGCACTGGCTGCTAGGGTAGAGCCTGCCTATACCTCCCAGCCTCCACAACCTTTTTGAAAGAAAAAGTTTGAAAAACAAAACAAACCCAGAAACAATGCGCACTCACCCGAGAACATAATTCTAATACATAGACAACCTTCAACAACAACAACAACAACAACAACAACAACAACAACAAAAAAAAAAAAAAAAAAAAAAAAAAAAAAAAAAAAAAAAAAAAAAAAAAAAACCGCCAACCTCTGCTCAATGCAGACTCCAAAACTGGTACCGCCTAACGTAGTACCAATTCCACAATCCTGGGACCACCTTTAAAGATGACCGTACCACAACTTACTGTGGTCACGCCATCACAAAACGCATCACCACGACTTCCACTTAGGGTATAGTAACTTCCACTAAGGGTATATGCTACTATACGGACTTTGGCGATCCGCACAGCATTGGCATATACTGCCAGGATATGAAACTCTTGGTGGAAATCAGCAAATCAAGTTGAATCAACCTTCATAATTTGTGCGCAACTATCATTGCACTATGCTCATTGGATTACTTTCTCAAATTGTTTTTTCCTTGAGCACTAAAAAGACCTGAGCTAAAATCACAGATCATATAATTTGCAATAAAAATAGATAGTATTATTGAGTCTCAGAAGAAAAGTTAGGCCTCAACATGCACAGATGTTCTCAATACCCACAACCCGCACAGACGATTAGGAAGTTGATTGTAGTCAAACCATCGAGTAACTATGCTATGCTGAGTATGCTCAATGGTTTGACCATAATCAACTTTTTATCTATATTCTTTTGGAGCAAGCAATTGCTTGTGGTCAAACCCAATGTCTTATGAACAGTCACTTATCCTCCTCTACCTCATATCACACTGCCAACGGTGATATCGTTGTTCGGTAGTGCCGCAACCACCGTCTTTACCCCCGGTCGTTATAGCAGTACTTGGTGTAACTTTCAGCTTAGATTCAGTGATAATGACCGAACTCGAGGAAGAATATATATACATATATATATCGTCACAAACAGAACTGCCCAGTAAACCGTAGGCAGAGAGAGAGAAGAGGACAACAAACGAGCGGCTTTGACAAACTGTTTCGTCGGAGTTTCACCGACTCATCAGGAGGCTGAATATATATATACATATAAAGTAATATAAACAGAAAATCTAAAATAGACAACAATGTAGATTTATTTTGTGTTTATATCATTATATGTATATTCTTTCATTCTCTATTACATCAATTATTACATAATCTCTAAAATGTACGAGTAATAGAGTATATGAATTTCATTATTTATGATTATATTGATTCTTCTTTTTACATTCAGTACAATCACTTATCGTTATTCTTTTTATTATAGAACTAAACAATACCCTACTACTGGCACCACAATAGCACTGCTTCATAGCACTCACAAGTGCTAGGCACAGATAAACTCAATACTCGAACAGAATCAGACATCCAAACCCAGAAAATGAGCAAACAACCATTCACTTCCAGATAGGCAGCACAACACTACTAATAAACATGGAAAAAATGTCTCTCACTACTAACAAACATGGAAAAAATGTCTCCCTCTTCCACAAATTCTTCATCTGCTTGACTTGCCATGGACCCAGCTCATATGCCTGCCCTGTTCCACAAAGGTCTAACGAGGAGATAAGAATGGACCCATTCATTCCTCTGTGCTTAAGGACCCCTTTCATTCCTCTGTGCTTAATGGCACCTTTCATTCCTCTGTGCTTAAAGACCCCTTTCATTCCTCTGCAGGCTTGCCCTGAAATAACTGTGTCAACTGCGGCTTTGACGCAGTGGAATGAAATACACTTTCACGCAGCTTTGATGCATTCCACAGACCTTACCCTGAAAGAACTGTGTCATCTGCAGCTTTGACGCAGTGGATGTGATGCATTCCACTGCGTCAAAGCTGCAGTCGACACAGTTCTGCGGCATGCATTCCGCAGCCGAGAGGAATGAAAGGGGTCCTGAAATAACCGTGTCAAGTGCAGCTTTGATGCACATGCTACAGAATGCATGTCGAGAGGATGTGATGAAGCAACTGTGCATATTGCTTCCATTATCTGTTTGTTGTCCTCTTCTCCCTCTCTGCCTACGGACGGTTCACCGGGAAGCTCTGTTTGACAATATGATACAATACAATGCATTTGCAACCCCCAAACAATTACGCACTTCAGTGACTTCAGGAAAAAAGAAGAAGGAAGTGCCTACCTTCAGATCTGCCGGCTGTACAATCTGACGGCCGATCAGCAATTTCTTAACTCTTTCAATCGGGTCGCGTTCCTGGCGAATTCCCGAGATCTCCTCCCTTGTTCGGTAAGTGCTGCCCGGATCAGACATGGAATGCCCATGGTACCGGTAGGTGTCCATTTCCAGAACGAAAGGTCCCTTTCCTTCAAGGCTGTGTTTCTTTGCAAATCGTATAGCTTGTTTAACAGCCAGGACATCCATCCCGTCTACCTTCAGTCCGGGAATGTAATCGCCACGGCTGTAAAAGTCTGGCGATTTCGCTGCCCTCCACTCTGCAGTGCCCATCCCATAACTGTGAGCCATAGCGCCAAAACACGAAAAACGAGGGAAGATTTATCCCATGTGAATATCATCCATGCAGTTCAAATTTTTCATTCGTTTGCCGTCCAATTGTGAACGCTAACATGAATAGCATGGCCCCTGCGCAAGGATGACGCCCATAAATCATGTATTGTACACTTACTTATATTCCAAAAAAGGTAAAGTAGAATTTCTTTACAATTGTCCTTCAGGACATCCGTTAAAATTGGAACGATACAGAGAAGATTAGCATGGCCCCTGCGCAAGGATGACACACATAAATCGAGAAATGGTCCAAATTAAATTATAAAAAATAAAAAAAAGAATTTCTTTCCAATTGTCCATCAGGACATCTGTTAAAATTGGAACAATACAGACAAGATTCGCATGGGAAGGTGAGAAAAAAAAGAAAAAAAACATCTTTACAGCTTCTTTACATCCATTTTGCAAGGATCATGAAGCCAATTCAAACTTTCGAAATCACAACCTTCCCCACGTCGAAGACAGCTCTGAAAGCCACAACCACAGAAAAACAACGTTCTCAAATCTCACTGCTGAAGCTTGCAGAAAGGGTCATCATCAAACTTTCAAAACCGTAGTCGTCAGATACATTCATAAACCACAAAACTGCACCGCCCCACCGTTGCAGTTCGAAACTTCTTGCCACAAGAAAAACGCGGCCAAAACGTCCAAAACGTCAAACCCGGGGGCCGCCATTGATTAAATTTGATCAGCGGCCCCGTTTTCGTTTCTCACCTCTCCAGCAGACCGGCGGCCCAGGTGCCCATGTACTGGTGCTTTAACAGCACAGCCCATGACTGCACGGACCCGCCAAACCATCATCAATGGGCATAGTTGTGTTCTCTTGACAACGCTTCCAGACGAGATCAGCAGCGGAGGTCTTTCTTCTCCCCCTCCCCAACACAGCACCTCGGCATCATGAATGTATACAAACCTTGTTCCAGTCCTGGTACAGTCATAAGGCTATCAACGAGGCTACCGTCTTCACCCGAATAGAATGCCTGGTACAGTCATATGAGGCTATCGAAGAGGCTACCGTCTTCACACGAATAGACAGCTTGGTACAGTCATAAGGGGCTATCAACGAGGCTACCATATTTGCACGAATAGCACGCCTGGTAATTAAAGCCGTACCCGGACTGAAATTTGCACCAAATACAGCTATAACGGCCAAGCGTTCTATTCGGGTGACGACCATAGCCACTACAATTGAATTGAGGAATATGAGACGCTCTCCCAGGCAAGGGACACTGCTAACCAAATCTGTAAAGGTGCCGAGAATTTCATGGGATGTGCTAAACGAAGCCCCATGCAAGACGCAAAGGAGTATTCCAAAAACAGACATCAATGTTTGCAATTGTGCGGAAATTGGTTCCCAGGTGGGATGAAGAGATTTGGGTGGGCCCTTCCGCACGTGTACCATCTTCGCCCAAATAGAACGGCCGGTCATTGTACTTCCATCCCAACTTAAAGTTGCCCCGAATACAGCTATAGTGCCTGAGCGTGCTATTCGGGTAAAGACTACAGCAGTCCCGAACGAGACATTCATCTCCATTCTTATCACGCCACAAAGCTGGTGCAGAGATCGGTCCGCAGGATGGGCCAAGAGGTTCTGGGCTATCCACCAAGCATTGCGCATTGTTCCCACATTTCACTAGACTGCTGATGCGGTGCAGAAATTGCAACCAACTTACTGCCCTTCAAAACCACAGACAGCATTTTTTTTGTGTTCACACCGCAAAGCAAAATGGAAGACTTTTAGCCACCACAGTTAGAGAAAGGAGGTAGATCCACTGCCTGCTTATTTAAAGTTCTTTGACTTATTTTACATTTCCCTTCTTTTCTGCCAAGTAGGCATGCACAGCTCCCTGTCGATTGTGCGAAGTAGACATGCACAGCTCCCTGAAGTAAACAAATGACAAGGAAAAACAAAACGACGAGTACAGTGGTGCTTGCAGCATTCTTGCCTCCACACTCACCAAATGTGAAAACGACAAAAGCTATGACGGCCTATTGACAGGTGTATCTTTCTGCATTCTAGCAGATGATAAATGAGACAGTCAACAAGCCAGAAGAAGAAGAAGAAGAACAATAACAACAACAACGAACCCCAACAGACATTTCTACAGCCTCGGCACAACACAGGAGTTAACTGCTACTCAATCAGCCCCGTCTTCACCCGAATAGAACGCCCGTCATTATAGCTGTATTTGGCACAAACTTTTAGCCCAGATACAGCAATAATTACCAGGCATTCTATTCGGGTGAAGACAGTACGAGATACTAACCCAGCTGAGCAACCGACATGAAGAGCAGAACCCCCCACCAGAAAACACCAAAAAGAACACACACACACAAAAAAAGAGAGAGAGAGAGAGAGAGAGAGAGAGAGAGAGAGAGAGAGAGAGAGAGAGAGAGAGAGAGAGAGAGAGAGAGAGANAGAGAGAGAGAGAGAGAGAGAGAGAGAGAGAGAGAGAGAGAGAGAGAGTTCACAAAGTTGGAATGGAGGAAAAAAGAAACATCACAAATTCGCAGAAAATCGGGAGCACGACTGAGGCGCCTAGCTCAATTGGTACACGAACAGACCTTTGAAATACAGACCTGAGATCGAATTCAAATGGACCAAGATGACTGAAATTCTTGAATTACCTGGAGCTTGTCAGTCTCACAATAATATCTCAAGACCGTTTGAATAAAGGAACAAAAAAAAGGGCGGCAGGGGGAGGAAGAGGGGGAAAAAAAAAAAAAAAGCTTAAAAAAGAAAGGAAAATTCGGTGGACGACGACGTACTGGTTATTCTCACACACGTAGATAATTGGCAGACTCCACAAAGCGGACATGTTCATCGCCTCAAATAGCTGCACAGAGAGCCAACACATTTACAAGCCATCAAGTTAGAAAAAGGTCCGACAGACCATCACAATGCAAGGACAGCAGACACCGACACTGCACTCTCAACAACGTATGGATTGCTTACATACACTCGACCTACTCTGCAACAGATCTGACGATACTCATGCTTGTTTGACTTTTCACACGTGCATGGAGTTTTGACTTTTCACACTTTGTATTAAACGTAGATGGAATCAATTTTGTCAAAACCTCGACTCCTGGGATTTCCACATGAAAACGATTCTTTGTCCATCCTCTTCTTCTTTGTCTCGTTTTTTTCCTTGTACGACTTTTCCTTGTGTTACACACCCAAGTGCAGAAATACCTAGACTCCTGGATTTCCACATTGAAAACGTTTCCTTGTCTATCCATCCTCTTCTTCTTTGTCTCGTTTTTTCCCTTCTACTTCTACTTCTTTGCCATATTAGCTTTTAATGCCGCCACCACCTCCTCCTCCTCCTCCTCCTCCTATACCTGTGATTTTTCCCTTTTTTTCCCAGACACATCACACAGGAGCAAGATGTGGGTTTCACCTTTCACTCTTGCATCGAGTGACATTGAGTCCAGTGGGTCACCTCTGTTTGGTGTTTGAAAGCAACATTACACCTCCAACTCCTTTCCAAGACCAGGCTGGATCCATTACTTAGAAAACGGAGAAAACAGACGACATCCAAACATAGTTTGAATTCCGCTAACGACTGCTGCTCGTCAGGTCTGCCAACCTGACACAGTCATGTTACCTGGGCTGGAATTAGACTTGCGGCCATGATTGTCTCGCCATAGCACGCACAGGTAGCGTTACGAAAATGCGCATGGAAACAGACATTTTATTATGGTATATACTATATACACTGTATACAGGCATTAATGATCTACCAGCGATTTTCAGCCTCTGTTTCACCTTTCGTATGAATCTTCTTCTTCTCAATGTGTACAGACTTCAGAGTTGTACAGCACACTTTAAAAAAACACACCGATCCTCCTCTCAATGGCAGGAGATGAAAAAGGTCGGTGTGGTGCAGAACAACACTGCTCCTCGTATCTCAGAAAGTCGAATCGGTAATAGCTAGTTTTTTTCTAATGGTCTAGCACGCAAGCATCGTGCGACTTGCAACACGTCCAACCCCACAAATGAAGACAAAGAAAGCGTTCACTGCTGACAGTGCAAAACCGTGAAAACTTGCACATGCTATGAATCGAACACAAAAAACTTGCACAATGGCGGGCTGGATGCCCAGGTGGACGCGCAGGTGGATGCGTGTGTGGATGTGTGTGTGGATGTGGGGACTTGCTGTCTTGGGACACAATCTATCATGAGTCCCCATCCTTCCACTTCTCGACAGTCCCCATCCTTCCACCTCTCGATGTTCCCGGGCACGCACCCACTCCCTCTAGTCCACCTCATGGAGGACCATAATAGTATAATACCCTTCTACCAATCCCTTGTACCAATACTTGGGAGTGAGCCGACAAGACAACGACCATCGGGGTGTGACCATAATACCCCTTACACTACCTCAATGAGGACGGCCATAATACCCGTATGCTACCTCGCTGAGGACCACAATACCCATTATCCTACCTCATCAAGGACCACAATACCCCTTACCCTAGCTCTTAACGAGGATCATAGTAGTATAATACCCTTGTACCAGTTCTTTGTAGAGTGACCTGACCGGACAGTAATCGTGGGCACCAGCACTGCAAAAGATCAGAAGGCTAACACCTTCAATAACAACGAAACAAGGGGGGAAAAAACAAAATCCCCAAGCATTACCCACATCTGTTGCACATCCAATGTTCAACAACAACAAAAAAAAAAGACCAAAAAAAACATGCACTCTTGCCGGCGAAGTTGCCGTGGTATTGCAACGTGATAAAAGAGAGAGCAAATGTCTCGACTCTTATGAAAACATCACATAACAGGCAGTTCTACTTCGCCCTACCGTACCTGTCCTTGATTAGCTGCGCCATCACCATACATGGCAATACAAACAGCCTGCAAAATCAAACAGGAATATCCAAACACAGCAGAAGTGCGCCCAATGTTCAGTTCCTTGTCAGAGAGAGAGAGAGAGAGAGAGAGAGAGAGAGAGAGAGAACCAAAAACCAATGTTCAATTCTTTGGTCAGGAGACAGCCAGTTCCAAAAAGATACACCCAATTGACTACGAAAGCTAAGAATCAGGCAGAGGGATAAAAAAAATAAAAAAAATAAAAAAAATTGACTGCTCCTTGCACTAAGTACACTTTATGAACAATCCACTGCTTCTTGCGCTAAGTACACGTGTGTCAGCGTATATTTGCATGGCTGCATGCAACAGGTGGAATCGAAGGGGGTGAAATATTCGACAAAAACAAAAAACAAAAAACTACTTACCGGTACTTTGTTGTACTTCAATGCAAAAGCAATTCCTGCACCGATAGGAGTCTGCTCGCCAACGTTTCAATCGCAATTCCAATAGTAGATGACGAACAATCTAAGTCAGTTACTCGACTGATCCATAGCAAGTACTAGCAGTTGGCAAATAATAATAATAGCCACCAATGTAGAAAATGGGGATAAATCATTAATACAAATATCGGAATATGGATTTAGTGAAATATATAACATTTTCAATGATTCTTTTTCTTTTACATATTTGGGGACTCTTTTTAAATAGAAAGAATCTCCTTATCCTTATTATGTTAATGTCAATTGAGTTAATGTTACTGTCAATTTGAACTTTTCAGGAAACACGGCTAGCACAAACCACATGTTTGCAACTAAGTACTAACAATATTGCTTAGCGAGGTGGAGAAGTGCCAAGCATCCACGCTGAAGCAAAATCCTTTTTTTTCTCATTTTCCTTTTTTTTTTTTTTTTTTTTAACCAGGCACAAGCCCCATCTGTCCTGGAGAGCAACAGTCCGGTTGCTTATCACCAGCAACCATAGACACACATAATCTGGATATCAGAGAGAAATCAAATCAGAAGACCCAGCAAGAGGCAGTCAAAACCCCCACAGCCCAAATGAACCTGTCAGGGGGTCCCGGGGAGGGGGGGGTGTAAAATCAAATTTTCATCAATTAATTTAATTATAAATTCATGAGTTGACAACTTAATACCAATAACCACACTTTCTTCCTCCCTGGTACTCCATACCACATTCCGGAAAACACATGTATTGAATTGTTTCTTTCTTTAATAATTTGGACCATTTCTCGATTTACGTGCGTCATTGTTGCGCACGGGTCATGCTAATCTTCTCTGTATTGTTCCAATTTTAACAGATGTCCCAGAGGAATTTAAAATGTATTCTTATTAATTACTTATCCAGGTTATCCTGGCAAAATGAATTACAGCCAAACGGCTATGCAGACCTTACATCATCATATACACAAATCAATAATATATTACTTCACACTGTTTACGGACAATCCCACCGTTATTTATATGACAACCGTTTATTGACTATTTCCATCGCTTCTCCAGGAGCACACACACACACACACACACACACACACACACACACTGGACTTGCGTATAGTGAAAACACACACACACACACACACACACACACACACACACA